CCCCCCCTCCCCCACTAACCCGCTTGCCTTTCACCAATTTTATTGTTGCCTGTCACGTTTGTCGGTAACGGGTCAGCCAGCAGTTCCGGCCAACACTCCCCCCCCCCCCCTCGCCCGCCCCGCCGCAAAACTAGGCCCACCTGTTCTGACGAGGGCGGAGCGTCCCTCCCTCGTCCTTCCCTTCACTTCTCCCCCTCACACTTTGACCAAGGTCGAAGGCAGACCAGACGCGGAGGGCCGTCGGTGCTTTCTCTTCCCCCCCCCCCCTCCCTCTCCCGCTCTGCGCTTTCCCACCCACCCCTCTCCTTGTTGTGGCTGTTCGCTTATCGCAAGTGACCGCAGTTCTTCGCCGCCCGGCCCCTCACCGCACCTTGCAGACAAGGAGGTGGCAAAGTACTTGTGAGTGGTTGTCATGGCGGCTGATACAAATGCAAATGCGGCGCCAGACGTCATCTCTAGGTTCTCCGGATGGGTGGGCGACTGGCGTGTGGCTGTTCTCGAAGTCTCGCTCCCTGCTTGGGTCAATGTCATGATCGACGACTCGTGGGTTCACATCTCGTCGCTGATCGAGGCCTCAGAGCCGATGCTTCTGGCTCACTTGACCAACGCGATTGTGAGCGAGGATGTATTCAACGGAAGCGGCATCGCCGACTCGATCGTGTATCCCATGACCGGCGCCAGCGACGGCCGGCGCAATGTGCAGACCTGCCTCGACGCACTCAAGCGGGCCGGTGCGGCCATCTCGGTCAAGGCTGACGAGATTGTAGGCAGCTCAGTAGACTCAGTCAAGACGCTGCGGCTGTTAGTGGAGATGTACGAGTTTTACTACTCGCGGCGGCTTGGGCTCTCTGCGCGCAACTTTCACAAGGGCCTCATGCGGGCTGTCCGCAGGCAGCTCAGCTCGGTGTCGGGCATTCCGTCGGGAACGCGCAAGGCGCTGACGGACGCACTGGACCGGCTGGTCAACTTTTCAACCAACTGGCAGTCGGGCCTCCTGTTTTCGGCCCTTGTTGCCTCGCTCGCGCCCAACTCGCTCTCGCCGTCGTCGGTCTCTCTGTCAAAGATTCCAAACGATGCGCTGCAAGCGGCGTTCAACGCTGCCAACACCGGCCTTGCGGTCCCGCAGCTTATTTTGCCATCGCAAGTTGCGTCGCAGCCCGAAGAAGTCTCGATTGCTCTCTATGTGGCCATGATCCTCGACTCGGGCATCAACGGCTCGGACCGCTCGCTCAAAGCGCAGCTGATGGCCATGGAGACCGAGCTCAAGCGGGTGCAGCAAGTAGCCGACCAGGTGAGTGGCCTGCAGCTGGCGCTGACGGAGACCCGCGACGAACTGGCCAAGGCCAAGGGCGTCAATTCGGCTAACGAGGGCCTTAATCTGGAGCTGTACGCAAAGTCGGACGAGATGGCCTCGCTTCAAGCTGAGATCATGAAGCTCAAGGCCAACAACATGGCCGTGACCAAGGCGCTCGATGAGACCAAGGCCAAGCTCGCGCGTGCCCGCGAGAACACCGGCGACCCCTCACTTGGCCCGGTTGTGGAGCGCATCAAGGAAGACGTCTCCAATTTGATGTCCAAGGACGTCTCGTCGCGCATGCTTCGTCTCCAGGCGGAACTGACCAAGATGACCGAGCGGCTGGCCCGCATCGAGCTCCAGCATCGCATGCACGAAAAGGGCGTGACGTTTTCGCGGCATACCGAAGACGACGTGCCTGCCCCGCAGGGCAATGTGGTCATGATGTGCACCCACGTGCAGGGCGCCAACAGGCTATGGATCAAGCATCCGTCGGTGATGGCACGGGCGCTCAACACCCACCACGCCTTCCTCCGCACCGTCCTTCCAACCTACGGCGGGTACGAAGTCCGCGTTGACGGTGACTCGTTCCTGGTCGCCTTTTCGTCGCCGGTCCAGGCTCTCCGGTGTGGCATCTTCCTTCAGATGGAGCTCATGAAGCGTGACTGGCCGCGCGAGATTCTGGAGGAAGAGGACGAAGACGTCCGGGTAGTGTTCGGCTCATCAGGCTCGACCCTCTTTCGTGGCCTCCGTGTGGCCATGGGCTTTGACATTGGCCGAGCACAAACGCTGGAGGACCCGGTCTCCAACCGCGTCGACTACCAAGGCGACGTTGTCGAGCGGGTGCTCGCGCTCTCGATGGCGGCGCTTGGCGGGCAGATTGTCATCTCGGACATGCTGCACGAGGCCGTGGTCGACTCGCTCAGCTCGCTCTCGCTCGGTACCGATCCGCCGGGCGTCACCCCGCTTGACGCGGTGGTGGTGCCGGGCAAGGACATGCTAGTCAACTCGCTGCAACTCTCTCCGAGCCAGCTGAAAGATCGTTCCTTTGTCGAAGCCAAGCGCGAGGTGGCCGACGATGTCATTGAGCTGTACAAGACCCGCAACCTCGACGCCATCCAGAACGCGCTCTCGGAGCTCTCGTCGTCGGCTTCTCTGCTGCACTCGGAAGTTGACACGCTCTCAGCCGACTTTGCCGAGCGCATCCAGGGCTGTGTCTCGCTCCAGCACCGGATGAAGGAGCTGGCGCACACGATGGCTGACCCCGTCGAGGTCCGGCTCGCCCTCGACAAGGCCGTCCAGTTCTTGCACTCGGTCCCGTCAGCGCTCAATCCCGAGGTCTCGCAGCTCGCAGTCTCCAAGCGCAAGATCAACGCGCACCTCGAAAAGGTGACCATTCTGGAAGAGGTCATCACCTCGCTCGTCGAGGGTCAGCGCAACCGGTGGAAGGGGACGCAGCACGCTCGCTTTGCCACCTCTTTTCTTGACTCGAAGCGCGAGGCGCTGGCCTTTGCCGAGGAGCGGCGTGAGCTCATGCACACCATTGACATGCTCAGGTCCAAGCTCGAGAAAGCGCAGCGGTCGCTGAGGGTGACTCGGCGCGGCTCAACACCCAACGGCGCGCCGCCGCTCTCGTCGTCGCCGTCGCTCAGCTCGGCACTGGGGCCAATGGCGTCGACGCTTGGCGGTGGACCTCCGTCTCGCGACCGCCGCTCGCCGCAGCCACACCTCGGCGGCCCGCCGTCGATGCGCTCGTCGTATCAGGGCGGCGATGAGTTGGAGGCCGACACGTCGTCGTCGGCGGTGCTCTCTGTCTCGGCATCGGGCTCGACGCTGCCGTCGCTGGGCGCGTCGGGCGCACCGTCGCGCCGCGGCCAAGGCGGCGAGCGTGAGTACCACCGCGGATGGGACGCATCAGCGTCGACCGGGACCTGGGCGCGCCACGCTGCGCCGACCCGTTCAGCCTCACAACGAACAGTGAGCGGCCCGTCGCCGACCGGCCCGCGCGGTGCGCGCGAGCGGTCGCGCGAGCGCGGCACTCGCCGCGGCCGCGACCGGTCCAAAGACCGACTCACCCATTCGCAAGTCCGCTCGTCCAAGGGTCGCGGCAAGGACCGCGAGAAGGCCAAGTCCAAGTCCAAGGCCAAGTCCAAGGCCAAGGGTAAGGATCGCGACAAGCGCGAGCGTGGGTCCAAGGACGGCCGGTCGTCTGGCCGCCCGCGGCGCGAGCGCTCGCGTGAGGACCACGAGCGGTCGCGGTCGGGCTCGTCGCGCAAGTTTGCTCCGCGGTCGTCGCCGCTCGCTGGTCCCGTCTCGCCATCGTCCTATGGCGGCCTCCGCGCAGGCGCGGGCTCGTCTGGTCACGGCACGTCCCGGCGGGCGGCGTCGGGCCGGCGGTCGCCTGGCCATTCGTCGGACCTGCCGCCGTTGGCAGGTGGCGGCAAGGACATTGACAATGCGGCTATGCTCACCGTCGAAGAAATCATTGAGCTGGACTCTGGCGATGATGAATCGAACCGGGCCAACATGCTCTCAGGCCCAGCGTCGTCGCGGTCGCGGTCCAAGTCTCCGCTCTCGACGCCAACCTCGCCCAATCCGCCGACGCTGCGGTCACGGTCGGGCGTAGAGCTCGCAGCACCGGAACGTGGCTCATCATCGCATGAAAACTCGGGCTCGCTTCCAGGCACGCCGTCGTCTATCACACCTACGTCGCCGCAACCGCCGCAAACGCCGGCCGAGCCTATGGCCCCCACCAGCTCGACCGGCTCCATCGGCGCGGCCCAGAAGAAGAAGCGGATTGTGCCCGAGGTCTCGCGCATTCTGCTCGTCGATGCCAACCAAGTCTCGCAAATCATGGGCCAAGTCGTGCTCGAGCAGCACGGGTACGAGTGCGTGGCGCTAGGCGACGGCATCGCTGCCGTCGACAACATCGAGAGCCAGCTCCGCGCCGGCAAGCCGTACCAGCTCATTCTCACTGCAGTCGACGTGCCCGGTCGCGACGCCTTTGACCTCACCTCGGAAATCCGCCGCATCGAGTCGGCGCTTGGCTGGTATCGCACCCCGGTTGTCGTCATGTCGACCGATCCGGCTTCGGACATGGAGGCGTGCATGGATGCCGGCGTCGACGGCATCTTCCCCTTCCCCATCTCGATGACGACCACCCTCGTCTCGACTATTTTCCAGTATCCCGCCGACGGGCAACCGGAGAAGGAAGCGCTCACCGCGCCGGGCTCTGTGGCTATTGCGTACATGATTCGCCATCACAGCGACTAAGCCGGCCATAAACCGGTCTCGAGCCATCAGCCGCATGGAAGAGAGCAGGTTTTTGTGGCAGGAATCAGAAAACAATACATCTCGCTGCCGTTGCAATGCAAGAAGGCTCAGTTGATGATGAATGAGGCGAGGGTGGCTGGTCGTCGGTCAATGTTGGCCAAGTGCAAGGATATGCCAGCCTGTCGCGTTCGTACTTTTTGTTGCACAGAACTCAAATGGCGGTGACTTGCGCCCACGTGCGAGCATTTGGCGAAGGTGGCAACGACTGTCTCTCTGCCTGCGGCAAGGCCACCAACCAAGGCGGCGACAGAGAGACAGAGAGGGATACTTACACACGCTCGACATAGGGCACGACAGAGGGCAGAGGATATGAGCTTTGCAAGTGGGGCTACCCTTGGAGCGCGTGGCGCAAGCCCGTCGATGTCCATGTCGCCAGCACCGCATTCACCTTCACCAGGACCTGGAAGTAGGACCGGCGGAGTGGTGGTCACCGCCGAGCTGCGGGGAACATCCCACCCGGACTGCCTCATGCACCGCAAGTGGCAGCTGGGAGTGGATGCACCAAGTAAGCTGCAGCCACTGTCACTAGCCGTCAAATGTGAGGGTATTGAGTTTGAGCTGGAGACAGAGCCCATGGCTCTCGGCTCTCGTATCGTCTACAAGGACGGTGCTATTGACGCCACCGCCATTCGCCACCGCCTCCGCCAACCGCGTGGTCTCATCAAGGTCCACTTTGTCTTTCGCGGCGCCCTCCTCCCGCCAGACTCGGCTCAAGACGATGCCAGTTCACAGCCGGTAGAGGTCGTTGCAACGTCGCGCGAGTACTTTCTCTTCACCAACACTCGCCAGGTCTCTGCCTTTCGTGCACGCCATGGCTCAGACTCGGTCCTCGCCCGCGACATGCCGACGCCCTCGCCGTTTGGCGTCCCCTTCCGCTACCTCAAAGACGTCTCGCCCGACTCGGATGCACCTGCTGCTGGGCCCGGGTCGAGCGGAGGCGGCCGTGAAAGAGCCAAGGAGCCGCGCCGCCGCAAGCGCTCGTGGCACTCGCGGTCATCGTCGGCGTCAGACACGCCGCCGTACACCACCTTTGCGTTCATGGTTGGCGTGGGAGGTGCAAGCGCCGCCTTTGAGCTATGGACATCGGCATCCGGGGTGCCTACTTCTCTTGGCGAGCTTAAGCGCGCGCTTGCCATGCGCTTTACCGACTCTCGTGGCTTGGCGCTGACCTCCGTCTCAGTCTGGGAGCCCGTCTTTGATGCATGGGAGCCGCTGACCTCGCTTCAGCAGCTTGTCTCGCTCGCCGAGCCGACCAAGCTCCGCGGCAAGCTCCTGCTCACCACCGATGCGTCGTCAGCACCGTCGGCACCGTCTGGCCGCGGAACCGGCCCAGCCTCGTCGGCTTCGCCGCAAGACCCGCTTCCGCCGCCTATGCTCTCGTCTGGCGGCAGCTCGTCGGTTTTCGACGTCCGCTCGGCTGACGATGGCCTGCCGTTCCTCTCGCTCGACGAGCTCGACTCGATCCTGCACATGTCGGCGACAACGCCGGCTGGCGCCCACCCGAATCCGCACTCGTCGACAGCTCCGGCGCCGCAGGCTGTCGCCGACTTTGACGCGCTCACGTGCGCCACAGACATGGATCTCACGTTTCCAGAGCTCGAGCTGCAGCCGGAGCAGCCGAGCCAACCGGCGCTGTTTAGCTCCAACTCGGCGCTGGCCACCTCGCTCTCGCCACAGGAGCTGGCAAGCCTCACGTCGCGGCTTGTCGACGAGCTCGAGGTCTCGGTTGGGGCCTCGGCACCAGCGCACCAGCCGGTCTACGACCTTGTCGAGGTTCTGCCATGGCAGGCTGTGTACTCGGCGTCCACCTCTGAGCTTGTCGACTGGACCGGCGGCCAGAAGGCGTTCTCGCTCACTGTCATGAGCTCGGCGCAGTCTGGCACCGTGCTGCCGTCGGCAGCGACGCTCAACATCGGCGCCATCCAGCTGGACGTCTCTCGCGAGCTGATGGCGACCGGCGCGTCGTTCCGAGTGGTTACCATCTTGTCGCACGAGGTGGTGCTCTCGCAAGTTGCTCCGCTCGTCGAGCCGGCGATGGCGCGGGCTGAGCTGGATCCAACGACCCCGGTTGTCCTCGCCCAGCTACCAGTTTCGCTCACGCTCGACGGCGTTACCTCGAACGCGCGTGCCTTTGTCGTCTATCTCTCAGTCTTGGCTGGAAGCGGCGACTCGCCGGCGCCGGGTAAGAAGCGCAAGCTCCGCCACGACGACGACGGCGCCGGTATCGGCCGGCCTGGCCAGCGCGCCAAGACGCTCGGCGCTGGCAGAGCGTCGTCGAGTGGCGGCGCGTCGAGCTCGACAGCGGCGGCACCAGGGCTTGGGTGGGGCATGACCATATGGGCCACCGGGCCGCGACCGAGTTCCGACCTGGTGGTCGACGGCCTATCCGACTCGCCGGTTCTCAGCGCACACGCGGCGGCGCTGCTTCCGCTCCTGCTTCAGCCGCCGTTGGCGATGGCGCAGGAGCTAGGTTCGTTTGCGCCAGGCTCGCTGCCGGCCCACGTGGCTGGCGAGCTGGTGATGCACGCGGTGCGGTGTGCTCGTGTCGGCGCGCTCCGTGTTCTTCTTTTTGGCGTGCATGGCCACCCTTCGGCGCTTGCGTCCCTGGTCCCTGGCGGGCTCCGCGCGCTCGACTGGATCGAGCCGCACACTGGCCACACGGTGGTGCACCTTGCGGTGCTCCTTGGCTCGCCGTTTGTTCTTGGCTCGCTCCTCATCAAGTACGCACCGATCATGCTCCGCGAGCTCAACACGCCGAACAGTGCTGGGCTCACGCCGCTCGGCCTCGCGCTCTCGCTTGGCCGTCGGTGGCTTGTTCCGCTCCTGCTTCACTTTGGTGCGGTGCCGCAGCTTGGCGACTGCGCTGTGCCGGGCCCGCTCGCGCTCCGGGCGTACGTCGCACTTGCGCTTCGCGCTGCAACCCTCGGCCGCGCATTCCGCCACGGCGCCATCACTCTTTTCCTCAGAGACTGGGCTGCGTCGCATGGCCAAAGCTCGAGGGCCACACTGCAGGATGTTCGCCTCGAGCGACGGGCGCTGACGCCTGTTCTGGCCAACTCGGACTCGCAGGGCTCATGGAACACGCCAGGGTCACCGTCTGTGTCATTATCATCATTATCATCATCATCTTCTTCTTCGTCATCGTGGACCGCGACTGCGTCGTCAGAGCTCGCGGTCTCGGGCGATGCTGAGGCTCGAGCCCGCAGCAGTGCGCCGCGGGCCAGCCGCTCGCTGCGGTCAGGGCAGACTTCAACCACCACCGGGCGGACTGTGTCAGGCGGAGATGAGGAGGAGGAAGCGACCGAGTTGGCGGCCGAGCCGGCGCTCAAGCTTGCCTCGCACGAGATTGAGCTCGCGCAGTTTGGCGGCGAGCCGTATTTTGACCCACTGGATCCGCGTCAACGGCACGAGATTGTGGCATCTGGCACCGGCGGCGGAGTTGTGGCGGGCGCCGGCGTGCTGCGGCTGGGAGTGGTGGCCGGCGGTGTGAGCCGAAACGGATCGCCGCGGCAGACAGAGCCGCAGCGCCACAGTCCGCTTGCAAAGCGGCCGTCTGAGCGGAGCGAAGCAAATGCTGCGCCGGTGTGGTCGGTGTGGGTGCTGAGTGCGCTCGCACTCGCGGTCTTTGTCATGGTGGCGTCGCTGGCGGTGCTGATAGGGGTGGTGACGGTGTATGCGGCAGACACGCGGTCGTGCGGCTCACTAGCAGAGCTTGCCGGGCAGTACTCAAGCCTTGCGCGGCGCGGCGGCCATGCTCTGGGCACTATCCGTGACCGCGACTATTTCAACTGTACCATCCTCAACCTGGCCGGACTGCCGTTGACAAGCGCGAGCGGCGGCGCAGGCAACGCTTCCGACATTGGCATCTCGCTCTGTCGCGGCATCGCAGCGTCGATATTTTATCAAGGTCTCGACATTGATCGCACGCTCGACCGGCGGATTCGGTACACTTCGTTTGTCAACTCTGCAGATGTTGTTGTGGGATGGGATGTGTCGCTGCCACGTGCGAGTGGCGGGCGGGTGGTCTCTGGCCCGCTTGTGCACGAGACACTGGCGATGATGACGCTGGCCAACGGGACGCGTGGGGCGTGGCTCGGTCCGGACATGGGCTGGATTGTGCCGACCGAGGCGCCAGGCGCATCGCCACCACGGCGCGAAGAGCTGGCACAGCTTGTGCAAGCCCGGCTTCGTGGAGAGGTCGGGTTGGCCAAGGCCAACATGCTGTTCAACACCAGCGTGTGCCTGACATCCGAGACACGGGAGCGCGGCGGGGAGCGGCTGGAGCTCGCGCTCGCGGGCGCGCTTGTTGTCGAGGTCGCGTCACTCGCGGACGGCTTTGTGGCGCTCAACGGCGGGCAGATAAGCGGAACCGGCCACGTGTTTGAGGCGCTGCCGCCGGAGGAGCCGCGGTGTGCTGCCGTGATCGGCCCGCTCTCTGACCTCGTGGCGGAGGCGGGGGCGACTGCGGCCAGGGCTGCACAGTCACCCAAGTCGATACTCGATGCGACGACGCACGACTCTGTGGTGCGGTCGTGGGCGGTGGATCCGCAGCCGCTGGCGCTTCTCGGATCTATGGTGGTGGCTCTGCCGCAGCGGCACACCTCGGACGCAGTGCTTGCGACGGTGGTGAGCGCCGGCGTGTCGGTTGTTCCGCTTGCCGACCAGCTGGGACTCTCGCGCGTCAACGCGTGGGACGATCTCGACCCGCTCTCGTCGGAGGACTACATGCTCGAGCACGGCGACAAGTTGTACGACGTGGCGCCTTTTGTGCACCGTGTCTTTCTCCGAACGGTGCTCCGATGGGGTGGCTCGCTCACCGACATGGTGCAGTCTGTGTTTGGCAGCGCCGGTGCAGAACTCTTCCTCGCGCCGCACTCGCTTAACGCAGTTTGGTCTGCGGGCGGAGCCTTGACGGCTGCGACGCCGCTCTCGCCCAATCTCTCGCCGGCCTCGGTGTTTGCCAGCCAGGTGGTTGACGAGAACGAGTATGACGAGGGGCTTGTGGTGGACTCGATGGCACCCAAGCCGCGCATTACACGCGGCTTCTTTGGGGTCGTTGTCTCGATGATGGTGGTGTTCTTTGTTGGTGCGCTCGGCTACACTATCTGGCTGGTGGCGATGCGATGGAACGCCGGACATCCTGCGGCTGCGCGCCGGGCCCGCGACCTTCGCTACGCCGCGGCCGCGCACCGACACAAGGGCAAGGACGAGGAGGATATAGTGTGGGACGAGGCCGCGGGCATGCCTGCTGGCTGGGCCGAAGCTGCCGGCGTTGATCCGGCGTGGCGGGTCGAGTACATGCGCAAGGTCATGATGCTCCAGGCCGATGTCGACGACGATCACCTGTGGGAGCGGGCTGAGGTGGAGTACGGGGCGTAGGAGCAGAAAGCAGCTCATTGAAGCGACACATACACACGCACACACATGCAAAAGGGCAGGCGGGTTCACTGTTCGGCGGCCTCCAGCTCGGCCAATCTTGCCAACACAGGCGCGAGGGTGTCGGCGAGCGCTGCGGTGGCAGCGGAGACATCTGCGAGCGCGACGGCGGGCGCGGAGGTGATACGCGAGGAGGCGGCGGCGTCAAAGGCGGCAAGATCAAGCGAGAGCTGGCGGTAGATCTTAAAGGTGTCAGACGGCCCGGCCGAGCCTGCGGGGCGGGCGCCACGGAGGCGGCGCAGCGAGTCAGCGGCGTTCTTGACCGAGGTGAGGACGGCAAGGAGGCTGGCAGCAAAGGCGGTAGCGGCTGCTGCGACAGTCATGAGCCGCCACTCGGCGAGGCGGGCGTCTGCAGCGAGGCCGACGACTGAGGCCTCAAACTCATCGAGCGGGTCAAAGAGAGTGGCAAGAAAGACCGATGCCGTAGTCGGAGTTGGCTTGGAGAGGCCGCGGTAGGCGCGCGGGATGGCGGAGAGCTCAGCGTCGAGGTTCTGTGTGAGGGAAGACGTGAGGAGGTCAACGATGGCGGCCGAGGCCTTGGGCCGGAGGGCAGCGAGGGCAGCGGCAGGTGCGGTAAGGCCGGCCGAGACGGCGGCAGCAGCGGCGTCGGCGGCGGCGGGCGAAGTCTCGGGCCCGAGGGCGCCTACAGCGGCGGCTTCGAGGCGCGGCAGAGCGTTGCAAAGAACAGCGTTGGCGTCGGCGTCGAGGGCAGCAAGCTCAAAGAGCGAGACGGGCGTCTCATCGGCCTCACCGAGTGTGCGGCGGTCAAAGAGGAGGTCGACCCACGAGGTGTAGCGGGCGAGCATCTGGAGCGAGAGCTTGAAGAACGAGCCCACGAGCGGGCGGAGAACAATGGTCGGCGCCCACACGTCAGCGAGGACAGTGACGAGGGAGCGGGTCTGGGTGACGGCGGCGGGAAGCGCGTCCGCGGGCGCGTCGTCGAGCTCGGCGAGGGCGAGCGGTGCGTCAAAGGCAGCGGCAAAGGGGCCGACGAGGCCCTGGAAACGGAGCTGAAAGTAGACCGGTAGGTTCCAACGGCGCATAAATGCGAGGTAGTGGTCCGAAGCTCGGAAGGCTTGGATGGCGTCGACCGGGCCGAGGACGGACTCGACGGCGACGAGAAAGGCAGAAGTGGCCGAGTAGTTGGTGTGGAAGAGGTCCGGGAGGCCAGGCGCAAAGATATGTGGGATGCGGTCGTCGACGAGGCGAAGGAGGACGGCAAAGACGGCGTTGCCCATAAACTCAAAGGCCGCACGCGGGGCGTCGGCGCCGTCTGGCAGCTGGTCGGCCGACGAGGCCGCGGCCGGGACCGAGACTGTAGCAGCGAGCTCGAGGAGGAGCCGAAGCTGCGGGCGGCGGAGGAGGACGACGACGGCGTCATAGATGGCGGGCAGACCGTTGTGCGAGCCAAGCGAGCCGGCCTCGAGGGCGGCCTTGGTGATGACAGCCTCGAGAGCAGGGGTGACAACGTGGCGGGCGACGACAGCCTCTGCGTCGGCAACACCATTAACTGCGGCGTAGGTGCGGAGCGAGAGCTTGAGGCCCGGCCCGTCTGCGGCGTTGAGCGCGGCGAGAAAGGTCTCGCGGAGCGAGGCGCGCAGTGCGTCCTGGACGGCCGAGATGCGCGGGGTGAGGCCACGGATGAAAGCCAGACCCTCGCCTTGCTCTACATAGTGCAGCAGCCTGTTGAGCTCTGCGCCAACGCGCTCGATAACGTGCGAGTCCGAGGCGGCGGCGACAGCGGGACGGTTGAGGCCGGCGCCTGACGCGCGAAGACCGAGCAAGGCCTCGAGCTTGTCGACACAGCGGGCAGCATCGATACAGAGAGCTAGCTGAGCGCGAGCAGCGGCAACGGCAGCGCGCTCTGCGGCCTTTGCAGCGACAGTGGCGCGAGCAGCATCGAGGGCAGCGTGGAGCGAGGCGACCTGAGCGCGAGCCGTGGCCAACGGAGCGGCGATGCGATCGAGAGCATCATCCAAGCCAGAGAGGTCTGTGGAGAGAGCAAGAAAAGCAGCATAGTCTTCGTTGATAATGTGAAACAGCTCGCCAGAGACGTCTTCCCGGACAGCATCGAGCTCCTTCTTGAGGCTTCCCAGGGGAATGACCTTGCGTGCGGCGGCGACGTAGGTCTCTGGCACAAACTCGCCCTTTGTCTCAAAGGTCTCTGCTGAGACCACAAAGTCTGTCATGAGAGTGACAGTATGTATGTGTGTGTGTGTGTGTGTGTGTGTGTGTGTGTGTGTGTGTGGAGGAGTGTTTGGTGTGTGTGTCTGAGGGTATGACGGGGGGGGAAGGGGGCATCTAAGGGGTAACCATTGATAACGCCCGTTGACCATGGGGTACCATTGATACCCCCCCCCCCCCCTCCCATGACCAACCACCACACTCCACAGACCCACACCTACACCCTCCTCCTCCCCTCACATGCCGTCGCCCACGTCGTCGTCGTCCACGACGACCACGCCGTCGTCGTCGGTACCCCCTTCAGCACCTACCGGGACCACCGAGTCAAGCCCGGTGGGGACAGCAACAAGCGCAGGTGGGCCATCAGCAAGCACAGGCGGTGGGGCAGCCGTAGGCGGTGACGAGGCGGTGGCCATGGCGGTGGCACAGACAGCGCATGCGTATGCACACCCACAGCAGACAGCCATGCCTGCTCCTCGCCCTCTCTCGGCCTCGCTTGGTCATCCCTCGCCCTCGCGCAAGCGGCAGCGCGACATGACGCCGGACGACTTTGGCCTCCGTCTCCCTCCCGGCGCCGTCCCGCGACCAAAGCGCCGCAAGACGCCGACCAAGACCCCATCGCCGGCCTTTTCAAAGCCCATCACTCCCGCCATTGCTCCGGCATCAGCGCCGGGCGTTAACGTTGTCGTCTGCCTCCATCCGGATGCTCCTGCCGCCACGGCCATGGCCGGTGGCGCTGTCGTCGGCATCGATGCCGTGGGCGGCACCGTCCTGCCGGGCGCCACCACCCCGTCGGTCGAGTCCGAGTCCGAGCATGAGGGCCTTGACCCGCTCGAGCACTGGCTCACCCACGTCCAGGTGCTCACGGGCGCCAAGGCGAACAAGATCCTTGAGGTCCAGGCCTACGATACGGTGGTCTCGGCCTTCCGCACACTCATCACTGCCCGCCTGCTCTCGGCACCGATCTACGACGCCCACACCTCGACATACGTCGGGACCATCGACATCGTCGACCTTGTCCACATGGCCGTCAACTCGCTCTCCAAGGTCACCTCGCGGGTCTCACTTGAGAACCTCATGCGGACCAAGGTGTTCGGCATGAAGGTTTTCCAGCTCGCTAACTTTTCGTCGCTCAACCCGTTTGTCGCCGTCAAGCTCGGCTCGTCCATCCTCAAGGTCATGCAGGGCCTGGCGGTCGACAAGCTCCACCGCGTGAGCATCACCGATGACAAGGGCCGCGTCCGCGGCATTATCTCGCAGTCGTGGATGGTTCGCTGGCTCTCGACCAACGCGCAGCGGTTTCTCGGCGAGCGCGCCCACGCCCCGATCGCAGACCTCGGTCTCGGTGAGCCCAAGACCGTTGTCACCATTCGCGACTCGCAGCTCGCCATCGAGGCCTTCTCCGCCATGGTCGAAGCCTCAGTCTCGGCCGTCGGCATTGTCGACTCGCACAACGTGCTCAAGGGCGTCATTTCCGTTCGCGACATCAAGGCCGTCCGCCCCTCACAGTCCAATCCGGACGTCATCCACTTTGACGCCCTCTACATCAACGTCATGGAGTTTGTCGCCGTCTCACGCGCACAAGTTGTCTCCACCGAGAAGGTTCCGCTCCTCTCCTGCTCACCAGACACTCCGCTCACCGTCGTCCTCGGCCGTGTCGTCGCCGCGCGCATGTACCGCATCTTTGTCGTTGACGAAATGCATCGCCCGGTCTCGGTCGTCTCGCTCGCAGACCTCATCCGCGTCTTCCTCCCGCCCTCAGCCTCATCGTCACTCATTGCCGAGGCTACTGCCTCGGCCAATGCCACCACCACCGTCTGCACCACCACCACCTCGTCCAATGCCACCACCACTGTCTCGTCTATTACTGTCGCGACCACTTCGGCCACACCCGTCGTCTCGCCAGCATCGGTTGCTGGAAATCCGTTCGGGCTGCACTCGAGCTCCGAGCCGCCCGTCACCCTCTGACCGGCGCCCCGCTGGCGCTGGCTCCGCTCCGCTTGTGCGGCAGCCGCGTCGCCTTGGATCCGGCGAGCCCGAGGTCGTCGCGCACGAGCCAGCTGTAGTCAGGGTATACCGCCCGCGGCGGGTGGCTCGCCGAGAGTCCCGCCACCGACGCCGCCGACATCACACGCAACGCCGGCACTTGCTCGCCTTCGCTCGCGCGCATAGACGGCGGAATCTGGTGCCGCTCGCCGCCGAGAATGAGGCCGCCGAGCGCACCGGCGCTCACGCGCCAGTTGCCCATTCCCAGCGACGGCACAACGCTCGCGGCGGGGCGGAACTTGGAGCCCTCGACCGCGTCGGCCGCCTCGCTCTCCCCCAGCAGCACCGCCGACACCGCCCATCCGCTCTCACCTTCAAGGTGAACATCGAGCGTCGCCCCGTTCGCCGGAACCTGGTAGCTGACATAAACGCCATCACGGAGGAGGACTGTGTCGATGTGGACCCGCGCGTCCGGCCCCTTTGCACCTGGCAGCAGCGGCATGGCGTCAACCAGCTGCTGTGCGAGCGGAGGCACGCTCCTGCCGGAGCTCTTGGGATGGACCAGCGCGAGCAGGTCGACGCCGGCCAGCGTCTGGCCGTAGTCGACAAGAAAGAGCGTGACAAGCAGGCACTTGCCGGGCTCCCCGCCAGCTCTGCCCTCAACCTCGACACGGATCACATTGCTCCTCGTGCCGGTCCAAGCACTGGGCTCAAACGCTCGCAGCGGCAGCTCGAGGCGCGGCAGTGCGCCCAGGACCTCGCCATCGGCGTTCGCACACCACCCAAGCTCAGCTGCGGCTTTCCAGGCGTAGACTTGAAACTCGCCGTCGACAGTCGCAAGATTGAGCCCTGCACCATCGCTCGCACCCGCCACCGACGCTGGTGCTGCGCAGAGTGTTGGCATCGGGCCGAGGAGCAGGCCAGCACCGCCGACTGCGGGTTCACTGTCGGCCCGAGCCGAGGCCCACGGCCCGTACTTGAGCACGCCAAGGTCGCCGGCATCACGGTCGATGGCGTGGATCGGCACAAAGCTGACGTCCTCGTCACTTGTGCTTGGAATGAGCGGCTTTGGTGCCATATCTGCCCCCAGCGGCGTCCAGAACACGCCCGAGAGGACCCAGTTGGGCGACGCACCCATACGCTCGACCAAGATCCGGAGCGTAAGCTTGCCGGCCGCGACCGCGGCTTCAGGCGCCGCCACATGGTAGACGAGCCACGCGTCGGCAACTCCGGCAGTGCGAGTCGGCTGAAAGCTGGTCACTTCAGCCGCAGCCTCGTCATCAGCACCAGCGAGCGCGTCAATGACCCGTGCGGTAGTCCACTTGGCCTCGGAAGCGTCGGCATCTGCGGAGTCCCCAGCGCCCGCGTCGACGACAACCGCGACCCGCTGGTGACGGACGCCTGTGTTGTAGTCGTTACAGTAGAGCGCAAACCGGATGGCTGCAGTGGGACGAATGATGTCAACCTGGAACAACACCGGATGCGGATGGTACCAGCAAGTCGGCTCAAAAGCCGGCGCCGGGAGCATGATGTCCGCCAGGACCGGCGGCTGCGCCGAGGGAGGAGGAGCAGGAGCAGGAGTAGGATCAGGAGCAGGAGCAGGAGCAGGGGTCGGAGCAGGCGCAGGCTTGGGTGCTTTTGCAGCAGCAGACGTCGTCGTTGGCGCTGGTGTGGCCCGCGCCAGCGCAGTCTGCCATGACGGCGGCGATGGCGCAGACGGCGGCGCTGGCACAGCGGCGGTTGCAGCCGGCGTCGGCGCCACGCTCCCGGTACTGCTAAGCGACGCCAGACGGGGGGTGATTGGCCGCGGAGTGCCCGGAAGCCTGTTCATGATAAGCGAGCGGAGCGAAGTGATTTCGTCCTTGAGCGCCGCTACCGAGTTGTCGTTGGCAGATGGCGTAATCGACTGCCGGGCTGTCCGTGGGCCGCCCGGCGACGGCGACGGCGCGGCAGCTGTGGCCTTGACGTTGTCGGCAAGGCTGCTCACCTCCTCACGGAGCTGTGCGATTGACTCGGAGAGGGTGCGATACTCGCGTGAAAGCTCGAGCGAGGCCTCAATGCCACCGATGGTCACAGACGCATTCTCCGAGGCGATGGCTGAGAGGTCGGGCGTTCCGGCGCGGGCCCAATCCCGGGTCGTCTCCCCGGCTGCGGTCCGTGCCGCCACACTATCGACGCCTCCTTGAACTTGTGCTGCATCGTCATTGAGCATCGGCTCAGCGAGCCGGAGTCGAAGTGAGCCCGGAGCGAGCTCGGCAGCCGGCTCGGCGGCATCCGCGGCGGGGTGGCTGTTGGGCAGGGCGTCACGGATGGCGTCCCAGGGAATAGCGGGCGCCACGTGCTGGCGCCATGCCGAGTTAATGAATGATCCTGCGCCTGCAGCAAAGGCAGCAGTTACCGCCAAACCCATCCATGACCAGCCAGCGCCAGCATCAGCCTGGCGAGGTGGTGGCGGCGGGCGGGATGGACGAGGCGGAAGATGTGATGTTGGAAGCTTCGGCCGCTTCACCGCCGCTTGACGAAGCGCCTCGGCAATCTCATCAGCGGAGAGGCCCTTGGAAGCCAGGAACTGTACCCGCGCCGACTCGGGAGCACTCGCCACACTTGGATCGGTCAGAAAGGCAACAGCCTTGGCCATCCGCTCGGCAGCAGACGGCGCCGCGTCGTCCTCGTTGTCTTTGCCACCGCCAGCCGAGCCTGTCCTGCCCGGCCGAGGAGCCAGCTTCCATTCCTGGGCCTCAACCTCTTCAGCCATGGTCTCGGTACTCGACATGGAGGAGGAGGAGGAAGGGGAGTGAGGAGAGGAGCGTGTGTGGGGTTCTTGAGGGATGCGCGCGAGGAGCGGTGGTCGCACAGGCGGGATCCGCCACGTGGGACGATGTGGCGGTGGTGACTGGACATGGGACGGAGATGGTTGCAGCGATCGATTGATCTGGGCAATATAATCAAGGGAAGAGAACGAAGAACACACATCAACCTTCTTCATACCCTCAATCAACCCTTTTTACCCTTTCTTTTAAACCACCAAACCCTCCCTCTCACCCTCCCCCCGCCCCCTGCCCCCTCCTTGCCCCCTTGCCCCCTGCCTCTTTGCCC